TTTTTTTAACAATATTCAAACAATTTTTTCATTAATTTGATATAATAATGTTTTAATTAATTGTTATTGATTATTCGATAAATAACTGTAGAATAGCAAAGAGCGATTTTCTCCAAATTTTTAGGGGATCACGTTCTTGTGATAACAAAACAATTTTTAGCAAGTATTTGCGACAAGACGCGGTTTCCTTTAATTATTATTAATTTTTTATTAATAATTTATTCTGCAGCAATCGATAGCAAAAAGCGATTTTCTCCAAATTTTTAGGGAATCACGTTCTTGTAATAACAAAATAATTGAACAAGCATTTGCGACAAGACGCGGTTTCCCTTAATTGTTATTAATTTTTTATTAACAATTTATTCTGTAGCGGTCTTTAAATTATTTGGTGAGAATCGCTCTTTGTTAAAGACCGCTAGAGAATAAATTGTTAATAAAAAATTAATAACAATTAAGAGAAACCGCGTCTTGTCGCAAATACTTGCTAAATTATTTTGTTATTACAAGAACGTAATTCCCTAAAAATTTGAAGAGAATCGCTCTTTGCTGTCGATCGCTAGAGAATAAATTGTTAATAAAAAATTAATAATAATTAAGGGAAACCGCGTCTTGTCGCAAATACTTACTAAATCGTTTTGTTGTCACAAGAACGTGATTCCCTAAAAATTTGGAGAAAATCACTCTTTACTATATTCTACAGTTATTTATCAAATAATTAATAACAATTAAAACATATTTTTATATCAAATCGATTTCAAAAACAGTTTGAATATTGTTAAAAAATATATATAGACATATTTAATCTTTATTAATTAATTATATCTCAAAAAAGCTCAGTGGCCGATAATAATTAGCTATACCCACAAAAATAAAAGAAAAAGGATAAAAATAAACATATAAAAAGATATTTTTATTTGTTCTTAATTTTCAGAATAAAAACTCGTATTTATTTTATATATCTACGTATTTCATTAATTTATAGTCTTAAATTATTTAAAGCATTATTATTTATCACATTGCTTGAGAAAGGATTAAAAAAAAAAACTTAAGGGCACGGAGATTCGAACCCATAATGTCGAGACTACGAAGTTGACACAAAACCACTCCACCAAATTTCGTATGACAGATATCCCTCCCGGCCTCCGGCGTCCCTCGCCACAACGTGAACATCGATCACAACGACTCTAGTGGCTATTAGAAAACTTAAAAACAACTTCATTAAGCGACCTACCCCTACCACTGAAGATTCCAGACCTGTATGTAAGACCGTGCCTACGGCATTACCGAGTTCACTACATCGCGGACATAAACACACAGTTACACATACACTCATACATATATACACAGTGTCATATAGCCTTAAGGTGGTGCTGACGGCACTTTAATTTCCCTCATTCGAGGGATCTAACAAAAAAAATGTGTATCGTGAGGGATGACGTATGACGATTGACGCGTGGTTAGCGCGAGTGATTTTTGTAACGGAAAGCTCCATGGTCCGTGATACAGCAACGCGGCGCGAATAATTGAAAACCAGTATCACATGCTAGAAACTGAAGCAGCGTCGTTTATACCTTATCTCATTACCAAGGTACGTTAATCTCGTATTATTTCTCATCTTCATTCATTTTTTCTACATATAACGTTATTATATCTGCTGTAATGATTAATAGATAGGTGACCCGAAGGATGCTGTGCGTAATGGCTTACGAGCTTTATTCAAGCAAATGGCTTTGGTATATCCCGTGAGCAAATTATTCTCGTACGTAATGGAGGGTTTGAAGTCGAAGAATGCTCGACAACGAACAGGTAGACGATTCGATTCTCGATTTCCATGCAAAATATTACGAAAGTGTTACTTGAATTAAGCAAACGTGTCGGCGCTTGCAAAATGCCTGGATCAATTAGGATCGCTAATTGAAAATTACCGAGTTTCTGTTTGCCAACCCAACCCGTCCGTGGCGTTGAAGGAAGTTGCGAAGCAGATCGCAGATCGCGACAATTCCGTTTGTAATGCCGCGCTAAACTACATCGTTCAGGCCTACTTCCTTCAAGGGGAACGTGTATTCAAGCTTATCGGACAGGTGAATGTAGTTGATTTAAGCAGAGTTAACAACTTTAAGAAGAGGAAACATCAATCAATTATTCTGCGTATAGATATCGGAGAAAGATAGATCCCTGTTAGACAAACGAATCAAGAGAGCAGCGAAGAATCGGCCCACAAAATCCGCATCCGCTACCAGACTCTCCACGCCTGTGGTCGTAACTTCTAGCCCGCCGACGGACGACATGGAGGCGGATTACGAAGAGGAACAAGAAGAGATTGCCGAGCCAATAGAGACAGTACCAGAGCTGTGAGTCATTTTTACATATGATACTACAAAATTGCAGCTGCTATCGTGCTGAATGTTTAAAAAAAAGAAATCGTTCTTTTTAATCATATTTTTTTATTTTTTTCTTTAATATTTTCTCGTGGAATATTATCTCCCAAATCACTTATGTTCGCACGTGCTTCGCTTTTAACATATTCACAGGACATGTGCTACGAGCACTACTGACAATAATGAGGACGATCAAGTGTCTTCTGTGATTAAAACCGAATCTCCTTCAAAATTGGACCAGGAAATTGTCAGCGAAACCAATACGCAAAATCATCTTTCCGATCGAGATGGTTTAAAAACGTTTGTTGCTTTTAATCATTTTAATCATTTTATATGACTGTCTTTTCGGCGCGCTCTAACAACTTGGTGCTGGGAAGTGTCACGGAATTTTATCGTGCATTGTGCTAACAATAATCCGTCTATTGTCGAATACTGTCACTTATATATCTGTTCATTTCAGTTTCAGTTTCTGTATTTTAATTTCTCACTTTTTTCTCTTTTTTTT